GATAAAAACAACTAAGTTTTATAGATACAAAATAATATTTGATTTGAAATAAAATAAATAAATGTTCTGAATTAGTTTTAATGTTGTATGAAAATATCGAAGTTACCATTTAAAATTTACTTGTTTAAAACTTTGTTATGTACATATATTTGGCTATTAGATAAATCATGTTATCCAAATAACCGATTACGAATTTAAAGATAAAATTTATCAATCATTTTCTAATTTATCTTTATATCAATCATAAGTGGATTTCATATGCCTTCACAATGTCTATTTGTTATTCTCTTATACTTCGTACTTCATAGTGTCTTTAGTATTGTGCCATATGGAAGATATTGAACGACATCTTTCTTGCTTGTTGTTAACAGTCTTTTCAATCGCGGAATGGGAAAACTTATCTCTTCATCAGTAAGGTGTAAGTTTTCTTATTCAAGTTTAATTTAGGTTTTTGCTAACCAGAGTTGAAGAAACTCGTAGATCCTTTTGAAATGGCTTTTTAATGGAGATAAATCGTTCTATGTATTTTTTTTGACATTTATCTTCGTCTCATAAGCTTATGTATAATTTGGTTTTTGTTCATCGTAGTAAAATAGTTTAGAATTTAGTATACTATTTCTTAAACGTTGGTCTTTCTAATGTGTTTGAGGATGCTTTATCCATAAAATCAAGTAATGATTCCAATAAGATAATGTTTGATCCAGTCATGAATCACTACAAGAAAACACAATTTTAGCGTCGGATTTATGTCGACGTAAATATAGCGTCGATTTTGCGTCGTTCAAAACATTCGACGCAAATTCGACGCAAAATGGGTACAAAATATAGCAACGCTAAATCGATGCAATTTAGCGTCGATTTCGCGTCGATTTAGCATCCAGATTATTAATTTAGCGTCGGCAAAATAGCGTCGGATATAGCGTCGAATATTGTGTCGAAGTTGGTAGGTAGGTGGCACGTTTTTAATGGGTTCACCTACTTCTATAGCGTCGCCAAAAACCGACGCAAATTCGAAGCAAAGTCGACGGAAAATAATTTGATACTAATTCGATGCTAAATTGCGATGCAAATTCGAAACAAAATCGCTGCTAAAAGTTCTTATAAATACATCCACAGAACGCACCCCAAACAAAAAATCATTGAAAAAAAAATCTTTCAATAAATTTTCTTAGTTACATTTTCTGAATAAGATAGGCGATATATACGAACTAAAAAGCTTGATGTATCGACGTAGAGAGGAAAATAGAGGAATTTCAGAAGAGTTTCTCAACGGGCTTGAAATTTTCATGGCTCAAGCGAGTATTGTGCCTACAATTCAACGGATCGGAGT